GGGGGGGGGAAAATACTTTTCCAAAAAACAAGATCTGTGGACTGAGAAGCCTCGTTCCTGTGGCACCTCTTTAAGGGAACCTAAAGAGATCCCACTGGTCCAAAAAATATCCTAGTCCCAAACCATAATATAAGCTGTTATCATCCACAAATTCCTTTCTTCATGCAACAGAGGAGGAATAAGGTTGTCACTGCACAAAAGAATATATGGATACAAGTCTGCCCATATTTCACATTCCTAGGATATTCCTAATATGATGGCTAATCTTCGATGCAGCAAATTCCAACAGACAATTTCCAGCATGAAACTAGTGAATTAATATTAATCACGAATTAAGTTTATCGAGTTTGTGTATTTTGACTTACAGGTTTTTATCCTATTGGGTGTTCATTAATTTGCCAGACCAGAGATTTAATGCTATTTTGTGAATTGTGGAGTCCTTAGGGTTCAGAGAACCCCAAGGACTCCACAGTTCAATCCTGAGCTACATATATTCTCTTTTATTGGTATTTTGTGAATGTTCACTACAAAGAAGCTACGGTGGAAGTGCTAATAAGACAGAAACCATTGGCCAGCAGAGAGCAGCAAAGCCTAACGCTCCTCTCACGGCTGGCTTGCAGGACAGGAAGACCCAGCCCTTTGGACAAGCCTTAAAAGAGATCTTTAACTTCTGCCTTAGAGTATGAAGTCTTCAAGAATTTGAAGGGGTAAATCTTCAGCGACGCTCTGTACTTGCAGTCGCTGCAACTACACGAACAGTTCGTTCTTCCGAGCAGCGCTGCCGAGTATGTTGTGAACGGAGCTCTGCCCCTTTCGAAACCGCACGACAGCGAAGACTTTAAAGGGGTTGTTAATTTGGATTGCGATATGATGCGTGTCTGGATCTACACAGGTATTACGTGTGACAAGAGGAGCTTCTCTCTTGCTGGCCTGCTTGTCATGTAATTATTACAGCCGCAGGTGTTCCCCTTTTGGATTTCAACCCAAGCAAAGCAAATCGACGACGCATTCCTCCGATGATAGGATTTGCCAATATCCTGTTTGTTTCAGTCATGGATGGAGGTGCTGGTAGGAATACTAATCTCCACCACAGGCTTGCTGCGCGATGAAAAAAAAAACATTTCAAAGGCTTAATTTAGAAACAAAACAATGGTCTGGAAAACGCGGGAAAAACGTATTTGCGACGAGAAAGTCCGCCCCTTTCCTCCTCAGCCATAGCCTGACCCAGCATAGGCCCTTTTCCTTCCTCCCTTCCGCCCTCTTAGCACCGCTACGGGGACCTACCCAAGCGAGCAACGCTCGTGAGGCGTCCTGGCGGGCGACGGCCATAATCGCCGAAGAAGGCGGAACCCGTTGCGGAAGCGCTCGTGGCAGGGAAAAGGTCCGCCTTTTTCTCGTTCTCGGTGCGGCTGCAGGAGCGGGCGAGGTGTATTCAAGCTACCAGCCACCCAGCCAGCCGGCCGAGCAGGTAGAGGGAGGACTGAGGCAATGCAGCCCCCTTTGCCCGTTCGGTGCTTGCAGCTGTGGCTTGGAGTTGCGGAAGATGTGGCGATGCGAACGCGTGCGAGGAGTGCTGGGCGTGAACCCAGGAATATGCGGACAGGACGTGTCAAAGGAGTTGCTATGTTTGTCTGGTGTGAAAGGCAAAGCCTCCTTCGAGTGGAACTCGACTCCTGGGGACTTGGTGGACATGTCCATGTGGTTTCTTGGCAACAGTATGGAAGTGGTTTACCATAGCTTTTTGACTTCCCAGCCCTGGGATTTGGCGTGGTTTCTCACAATACATGTTAATGAATTGATTTAGGTGAAAGAAAATCTTCACACTGGGATATACAGATTGTCCTCACTTAATGACCACAATTGGGATTGGCAACTCTGTTGCTAAGCTACGTGGTTGCTAAGCAAAACGTGACTGCACCAGACTTATGACATCAGTTCAGCTGTAGTTGTTAAGCGAATCACCTGCAGTCATTAAGCATGACATCATGTGACCACAACTTACGACTTGCTACCAGTTTCTCCATTGACTTTGCTTGTCACAAGCCAGCTGTGAAGCTCACAAATGGCAATCACGTGATCATGGAGAATGCTGCAAGGGTGTAAATTCAAGGACTAGTCATAGAGCTACTGTTTCAGCACTGTCATAAATTTGAATGGTCGCTAAACAGGGCAGTCAAGGACCACCTGTATTTTCCTCTGTGCCCAATGGTGGTCTTAAAAAAGCTCTGAATAAAAATGACCTGTGGCATTTGAATTCACAGGTAGTTTCATGGTTGTAGCATGTGAGTCATCACCTTAGAAAGGTTCTGTTCATTTGATTTATTCACTACAGTACTAGGAATCTCTGTTGAATATACAATTTTGGTTGAAGACCTCAGAAGTCAGTTAATATGGGTCTAAATAAATCTCTGCTTTGGTCAGACAGGCTGAATTTGTGACACGCACTAGGCTACAAAGGCTGGCTGGTTTATGGTTTATTTTGAGAATCTAGATAATTGGATTAATTCACTAAATTATTGTGTGAACATAGCCATGTTTTGGAGCAGAAAGGTCAGGAAGCTACATACAGTAATCACAATTATCTTCATCATATTTTGAATAATAAATAGCTCTAGAATAGCCTTTCCCATCTGCTTCGCTCCAGTTGTGTGGGATTACAATTTCTAACTTCCCTGGTCAACATGTCCAGAGTTCAGACAAATAAGAACCACTTCTGGTGAAAGATACAGTCTTGCCCTGGATGATCTGCCTGTTTGAATGGTTGCAGGAAACTGTCAAGAAATATCTAAAGCAGTATCTGTCTGAATATTGTTGATACATATTAAGGCTTTTTCTTCATTTTTGCATTTCTTATTGTGATTGTTATGAAAAAAAATCAAAATCCTCTATTAACAGCATAACAGAAGTAATAAAATAGGAGAATCAGATATAAAATATAATGCATTGACAAATAGCTTCCTGAAGTCTTGTATATTTTTTAATGTTTCCGTAGCTCTGTTCTTTTTATTTCTTCCCTCTTTCCTTGTTTTCTTATCCAGAGATCAGCATTTCTCTTTTAGTAAGTGTTATAATTAAACTATTATTTGAATAGAACAGTTAAATAATTCAGTTATCATAACAACATGGTCTTGGTTTGCCTTTCCGCTATAAAAAGGAAAGGAGCTAAAGGAAATACATGTGTTGGCATAATCTCTAGTTCATTTCACTTTCACTTGTCCTAACTTCCACCTGATGCAACAGCCATCATTAGTTGGATTTTATGGCATCCATGATACATTTGTTGTCCAACATATCCATGATGAGCAAGGCTACCTAAAAACCTCAGCAGGAAGATTCTCATGAAATCAACTTTCTGAGAATAAAACACTTAAAATTTCCTGAAGGTCCATCACTGACACTTTATGCTCAATCATTTCAGAAGCTGCAAATTTATGAAATATGTTAATGTAGAAAGAGAGCTGTGTTAGTCTATGGTAATAGAAAATCAGAAAGTCTGGTAGCATCTTTTCTAACTAATAAATTTTATTAAAAGGCATAAGCTTTCATGAGCTTTGATGAAGTAAAGAACTGAGCTAATGAAGTGAAATATGTAATACTAAATTTTAGAATTTGGTAACCTTTGTTGACCTCTAAGCAAAAACACTGCTGGCTGCCATTGTAAGGGCATTTTACAAATAGTATTTCATAGGAGTGATCTCACAAGTTATTATTGCTTACTGAAGCAGGAGAAAAAGCTTACATTACAGCTGTAAGAGTGTTAATCAAGACGAGAGACTGGGGTTCAAATGTGAACTTGGACAACTTGTTTGTTATAACCTCCTTTACAGAAAAGAAGTGAGAACTAATATGTATACTACATTAACTTGGATTGATCATATAAAAATTGAATAAAATGCCTGTGAAACAAGTGTAAAGATTCAATATAATCTCTAAAAACTATTTCAAGTAATACTTGTTCTACTGTAAAAAAGATTATCTCAATTTCATCTAAGAAATAAAAATGCAAAAATCCATCTGTAGTTTACTTTGTTTCTATAATATTATTTTTGTTGGAGATCAGTGGCTTAAAATTTAATTCAAATTCTAAATTAAGACAAAAGCATGTGATTTCTAGCATTTAGAGAGGATGGCTTAGCTTATATCTGCATGGGGTAAGGAAAAACTGAAGTTGGAGCATATCTCTAACAGGGCTGCCTATTAAAGAAAGTAACTTGAAGTTAATCCTCTGTTTGGGTTCTAATGATATAGAAATCACTAGATTCTCTGGGGTTAGTTTGCCTTGCTCCTAATCTGCCCAGACTATCAGGTTCAGATGATACATTAGGTTAACTGGTAATATGTTACATGAATACAGGTAGTCCCCAGGTTAAGAACACCCGGTTTAAGGACGACCTATAGTTAAAAACAGAGTTCATTGTAGCAAAATTTGAGTTAAA